TTTTTTTGTATTTATTTATGGTCATTTATTATTACTTTTACTTTTTTTGTTATCTTCACCACTGATCGGCTCGTTAGCTGCTTGGGCGATTGGTCACGTCTCTGTTTCGCACTGTTGGCAAGTACTGGACTGGCTTCTGAATGTATCTGAACCTGCTCCAATGCTTATCAAATCTGGTCTTGAAAGAGCTCACACTCGGTGCCGTCACAACACTCTTTGGCAGATTGTTCCAAGAGTTCACAACTCTTAAGCCGAAAAAGTTATCCCTCACAGTTTTCTGGGCTTGCGGCTTCTTCAACCTTGAGCTGTGACCCCTTGTGGGGCGAGTGTCCACCAGGTCCAGGTAAGGGCACTCAACTGAGTAGTGCCCCTTGAGATGCTTATACACCTCAATTAAGTCTCCCCTTGCCCATCTGTAGTATAAGCTCGGGAATTTCAGGCGTTCCAATCTCTCTGGGTAGCTGAGGTGCCGTAGTGCCGGCACCAGTCTGGTGGGCTGCTTTTGGACATTTTCAATCAACTGACAGTCCCTAGCATATCTCAGGGACCAGACTGGGTGACAGTACTCCAGACGGGGAAGCACTTCACACTTGAAGGTCGTTACAAGGGACGGACCGTCTAGATATCTGAACGACCTTCTTATAAGACCTAATAATTTAGTTGCCTGATTTACCTTCTTATCGCAATGACCCGAGAACTTCAGCTCATTGTCAACATACGTGCCTAGGTCCTTTTCACATTCAGTCTCAATTAATGCAGTTTATTCGTCCCGTTGGGACATATGATACGCCTCCTTACCGTTGGTACATCCCAGATGCAGCCTCTTACACTTCGCGACATTAAATCTTAGCAGCCATTTCTTCGACCATTCTTGAAGCTCACAGAGATCTTTCTGCAGCTCTTCACAGTCTGCTTGGTTCTTAATTTCCCGAAATAACTTAGCGTCATCCGCAAACATTTGTATGGAGGAATGTGCAGCGTCAGGCATGTCATTTATGAGGCAAACAAACAACAGCGGGTCCAATACACTGCTCTGTGGTACCCCGCTTGTGACGGGTATATACACATGATGATTTCGTGTCATTAATCACCACACACTGCTTGCGGTCATGAAGTAAGTCTCCTATCCATGCTAGGACATTTCCCCGAATCCCGTAACGTTCCAGTTTAATTTTCATTCTTTCATGGGGTACACTGTCGAAAGCCTTGGCAAAATTTGGGTAAATATTGTCGATATTACCACCCTGTTCCAGAATTTGGGTCCAAATATCCAGTACCTTGAGTAATTGTGTTAAGCAGGAGCGCCCCGGCATAAAACCGTGTTGGCAATCCTTTACAAGGTTGTTTCGTAGTAAATATTCCATCATGTCGTCTCTTATAATGCTCTCAAGTACTTTACTTACTATGCTGGTTAAGCTTACTTGTCTATTGTTATTCGTGGAGTGACGATCGCCCTTCTTGAAGAAAGGACCCACATCAGTCATTTTCCTATCACTGGGACCTTTTGCTAATCCAGGCATTTACAGAACAGGATCTTCAGGGGCTCAGCAAGTTCGTTGCATAATTCTCTTAGCACTCTGGAATGCACCATGCCAGGGCCGGGACTCTTATGAACCTTTAGCTTTGACAGTTCATTTCTTATATCCTCTTCTGTGAACACAATGTGGGTCAGTGCTGTGTCGAACAGTCTGTCCTCAAACGCAGGAAGATTAATTGCATCCTCTCTTGTGAACACCGAGGAAAAGAAACTGTTCAATGCCTCAGCTTTGTCCTGGTCAGAATCTGCGTAGCTACCATCTTCAAACCTCAGGTCCGATGCTCCTACTCACGTTTTTAATTTAGACTTTGCATAGCGGTAAAATGCCTTTGGGTTTGACTTGACCTCGCTTGCAACCATCCTGGAACTCCTTTTCAGCCCTTCTACTCTCTGACGTTTCTTGGTTCCTGGCTCTTGCATACATCCTCCTGTCCTGCTCATCGACATGCGGACCGCCTTGAATTTCTGAGTTTTCTTCTTAACTTTGTCGACTGCCGCATGATTCATGAGTAGGGGTCTCCTTATATTCCAAGAGGCACTGGGTTTGGTCTTGGGTATATATTTCTCGAACAAATGATTCACTTTACTAGCTATGATATTCAGCGTAGTCTGCGTTCTTATGCCTTAGTGAGGCAGGCCAGAGGATACCCCTCATCTCCTCCCTCATTCCGTCGTAATTTCCCTTGGTTTTGTCGTGAATTGAGTAACAGTTAAATCTGAAGGACAACATTACTTGGTGGCTGGTGCCAAATGGGGCTAGATATTCCAGTTTGGCCACCATACCCTCCTCGTTTGTTATGATGAGGTCCAGTGGCTTGGGTGTTTGCTTCCCTCTGTAATGCGTCTGATTTTTAACATGTTGGAACAGAAAATTTTCTCTCAGAGTTTCTGCTAAAAGAGTAGCGGGGCTATTATGTCATTTGGAGTGAACTCGTTTCTCCAGTTAATGTCGCCATAATTAAAGTCCCCCATGATAATGAGTGGCTAGGGTTGAACCTCGCTGCATTGTCTATTAAGGCTCTTAAGTTCCTTTGGTTTGGTAAGGTGCAGTTTGGGGATCTGTAGATACACCCGACAGTTAGTAAGTCTCCTCCTTTTAATTTAATTTTACACCACTTGGATTCTTCAAAAACATCCTCTCCTTGTACCCGCACCTGGCTGGCTCTAAGGTCTTGCCTGGCATAGATAACCACATCCCTCTTGCAAGTTTCTTGAGAAAGGTTCGTAAATAAGTCATAACCGTCAATACTAAACTCACATTCCTCTGGGTCGATTCTCCTGTTCTTGTACAACTGTTCTACCACTCCTACTATATCAGGTTGGTGTACCTTCAGTAGTGTTTCAAACTCCTCTCTCTTATCAAGGAACGTGTACAGTCGCTAAAACAACTATCTGTGCATACTTTGTGGGAAACAATATGAGACCATGGGCGATAAATTTTGGTACATGGGGGCTGTCACTAGTCACATGTAAAATTTCGGAGCATATCGACCCCTACCTGCATAGATAGTTTTAGCTACTGTACATAACTTATTATTATTATTATTATTATTATTATTATTATTATTATTATTATTATTATTATATTATACAGTATTATATTTTTATTTAATATCTTTATATTCTTAAGTATTTTTTATAATTATAATTATTATTATTATTATTATTACATTTTTGTCCCTAAGCCCTGATGTGGGCCATTGACCTGTGCCCTGGTGGGCTAATCCGGTAAGAAAAAAAAAGGGGGGGGGGGGCTTGTTGTGTATCCACGATTTAGGGAAAGACTAACGAACGGCTTTTCAAGAATGCGAGTAGCCTAGTGGTGACATTAACGTTCATTATGATGTAGCTTCTTCCCACTTTTCTTCCTGATATTATCCTGCCGTCCCTTCCTCCTTACTCGTGACTTACTTTCTTTCACTTGCCACGATAGGTGAGGGGTGGGTAGGTGGGGTGTAGGCTGACATGGGTAGATTGATAGGGGGGGGGGTGGCTGGAATGAAAGGGGAGGTTTGTTGAATGGACAGGGTGTGGGTGGACGGATAGGTAGGTTAAGTGAAAGGGGAGGTAGGTCGAGTGGAGGGGAGGTGGAGCCAACCAGGTGCCATTTAGTTACTCAGCGGGTGGAAAGTCTTCTCGGGCTGACTCCCACATAGTTTACAAACATGCTTATCCAATTGTAAACATGTATGTCAATTTTACTGAATATACAAGACTAGCGAGGTCATCCTAAAACTATATCTTGCGCTTGTGAGAGCTCACTTGGATTACGCAGTTTAATTCTGGTCTCCGTACTACAGAATGAATATAGAATCCCTAGAAAGAATTCAGAGGAGAATGACAAGACTAATCCCGGGCATTAGGAACCTTGAGTACAGAGACAGGTTAAAGCATCTTAATTTGCACTCTCTTGAGAGACGTAGAGTGAGGGGGCGATATGATCGAGGTTTAAAAATGGAAGTCAGGGTTAAACAAAAGTGCATTACAAAGGTACTCAAATTATCCAACCAGGAGCGAACTCTTCACAATGGTTTTAATTAGACAAATTTAGATTTAGGCGCGAAATAGGTACACACTGGTTTGGAAATAGAGTAGTGGATGAGTGGAACAAGTTACCAAACATCATCATTAACTCGAATAAGCTGGATAGCTTCAAACATAGGTTGGATGGATATATGAGCGATAGGGGTTGGGTGTAAATGGGACTGCCCAGTATGAGCCAATAGGCCCTCTGCAGTTTTCTCCATTCTTATGTTCTTATGTTCCTATACAGTACGAGCACAAAGTTCTTCATCAGCTGAGTAACAACATGGCGCCCGCATGTCACCGAGTTAACTGAACTCTATCTACGGCTCTGCGGTGAACACGTTCACCCATAGGAGTAGGCCATCCTTCTCTAGTTTTAGAATCCTTGACGCAACTCGACCAGATGATGAATATTCAAGTAGTCGGACGAGCGAAACTGACGTCAACAAGCTCCTCTTATATCGTGCGTTAGACTAGATCGGCGTTAGCATCGAAACAACACATTGAATACCACAAAATTATATCCAGGGTTAGAAAACAAATCGAGAGAGTAGAGATACGCTGCTGTGGTCAAGGAATTATGAACGAGAGAGACTTATACATACATGAACTAAGACGTGTACATTTCAAAACCGTAACTCAAATAAATCCAGTTACATATTGACACCTCAAAGGATATCGAGCTACACTAAGGAATTTGTATATTACGAAAACACTTTCTTACACACGTAATTTAAAACAACAAATGTGTTGCTTGAGGTTTCGGTACGCATTATACAAAGCAGGCATTAAACTAATAAAATGACTTATGATTTAGGTACTATGTAATTCACTAAAATAAATTGAAAACAGTGCAGTTACCTGGACTAAATCAATGCCATAAGAGCACATTACCAGCAGCAACAATAGTAATAATAATTATAGTAGAAGTACTTACCGTATCCTGCATGTTGGTGCTGGACGTGCTGGTGCTGAGCAGTGTGTTAATAATATCGCTCAGCAGGGTCTGTCGAGGGGCGCGGAAGGGCAAGGCCGTCACCCCCGTCGCCGACAGCACCACCACCGTCACCAGTAGCGTCACTACAGTCGCCCGAGTCATTGCTTCGGCTGTCACTCAACGTCTCACCTTTTCCGCCGCGTACAGTGGTTCACTCACCCAGATGTCTGCTGCCGTGGGGATCGATTGGAGCGCGATTCCCAGACACACACGCCTGCTTTTACTCAGTATATTTCCCGTTGGCGTCAATTATTTTTCTTGTGTCGTATTGGTTTTCTTCTTCTGACTAACTTCTTTCCTCGTTCTCACTGCCTTTTTGTTACTTCTGTGGCTTTATTCTTCGTTTTCACATTTTATCGACGTTACTGGATGTATTTGACCGTTCCCTTTGGATTATCGGTCCCGTTTTGATGTATATCTAAAAAAAAAATAATAATACATATATTGTATTACACTTTATTCATCAAACACAATACAGATTGCCCACGAGGGGGCTAGTTTATTGGGCACCCCCTTACATCCTGTGCAAGGTGAAGCACAGAAGCGTTTACAGTGCCCAACTGGGAAGCATGCGGAGTTCATGCTTGCCTTTATGACTCATGCATTAAGGGCGTAAAAGGCCTGAAGGGTCATGGGTTTTGTCAGCAAGTTACATAAAGTGACAGAATGATGATTGTGTGTGGGGGGAAAATTCCCGGTACAATTTATCTGTTTATGGCAAAGTGTGGCAGGTCCCTAATAATGTCAAGTGCCAGGCATGTCACTAGGAGGAGGGATATCTGGTCAGGGAGGGAAGAGGTGTTGGTAACACAATACTTGGTCCTGTCCTCAAACCTTTAATAAGATAATCAACCATAGCAAATTACTTAAATTTGTCCATAAATATTTATCCATCAACGTTAATATTTAAACCTATCCTTAAAATTACATTTACCCGTCTTCGGCTACGAGATTTTTTTTAGCATACGTAAATAATACTCCTCTTAATGTCAGTCCAACACGGCAGTTCCTCCTTCTCTTGCATATCAGCTAAGAGTAATAAGGGAACTGAACAGTACTGGCCATACGACAATACGACATGCCTTTTAGCCACTCTTAAACACCCGAGACACTAGCTATGACGAAGCAATACCAGTTGATGCCGCAGATATGTGATAATATCTGGACACGAAGGATAGCTGGAGTGAGGGAGCAGGACAAAAGAAAACTGGTTGAATGTAAAGATTCTAGTAGTCATTACTACCGTAGATTATTTTGTGCTATCCGAGTAGTTTTTGTTTGTAAATAATGTGTTTGTTGCGATATAAGTAATGAGCACATCTGTCTATATGTGGAAGCTGAAGCGTTATCCTTGTATTTAGAAACTATATACAAGGATGCATTTTACCATCGTATTTAAAATAGAAGAAGTGAAAATAAGTTGATAAGTGTTCAGACTTTAGAACATAGTACAGTGATGACAAACATTGGTTAAAAAACAAATTGTGAACTGAAATACAAAAGGGAAGGAGTAGGGAAGAGGTAGAGTTTACGTGTGTGTGTGTGTGGTAATCAATTAATTAAATAGTTTCTGCAGAAGACAACGTTTAAAAATCACAACAATTTGATGCACCAATTAGCTTATGAAAGTAGTACAGGGAAATGCTGTACGTACAGTATATAGATTTACTGGTGTGGTGAGGAAAGTTGAACACCTGACGACTGAGGTTTTAGAAAGGCAAACTGATCATCTGCCAGGAAGTGACGCGACACAAGATGAGATGTAATTTTACAGTTTATATAACTTCAGATTATTGTAATACCTGTGGTAATTTGGGGACATTTCTAGGTTAATTATGGTATATGAGTCTACCTATCGGTCACGTCACCTACAGCTGATAATATACTAACCATCATTACTTCTCCACCAGTATGTCTGCGCCATGAAATCTTTGATAACTAAATGATACAAACTTGGGAGGATTGTTGTTTCTGGCGTGGCAAGGTAAACTAACCCTGTCCTTACATTGAGCAAATATTCCTGTCTTTTGCTTGACGAGGATGACGTTGCATCAATATAGTGACATCCTTTCAGTATCACGTTTTAAGTGGTTACTCTTTGTTGTGTATATAACTACATTTTCTTTGTGAGTCACAGATTAATAAGTCGTTTCTCTGTACGGTTTGTTGACATCACTTATGGCCAGTATTAGGAACCATAAAAAATGGAGGTTGCTGCAGGTGCACGACTCAACCAAACGTGACACTATTTGTGGGCAATGACTGTACTACACTGACAACCATTCTAGTATTTAAGCCAATCAGATACGCCGTATTTTTATTTTTTTTTGCATCCAAATTCGTCTATCACTGTACAGCTTAACATCTCTCCACACACACACACACACACACACACACATACAGCATCTCCACACACACACACACACACACACACACACGGCACCTTATACAGTTCCACACACACACACACACACACACACACACACACACACACACACACACACACACACACACACACACACACACACACACACACACACACGGCACCTTATACAGTATAGGTTTTAGAAACGTCTACACAAAGACAAATGTAAAATGGAATCAATAAAATACGTTTAAAAAATATTGATTCTGTATTAAGTATAATAATGTCCATATTGATATGTAATGCTGTACAAAACATACTGAATTTAAACCAGCCTAATCAAACTTATCCTGATCTAACCATCCAAACCTAACCTTATATCTGTACTTAATAGGGTCACTCGAGTGTCCGGCAGGTTTAGAAGCCTCAGTATGTAAGGATCACGAGGATATAATGATCAGTGTTACTTCATTGATACAGTACAGGTATGAGCAAAACTCTATTACTTGAGATGTGCAGTGACATTGCATTCTATGTGTCAATAAATTAAAGATAGCTAGTTATTATGAACAAATCGTACCAACCGACCGAATTATAAGTTTACATACTGACATGAGGATACTACAGAGGTACTGTTGCTAGGTAGCGGGCAATGACAGTGGGGTTGATTTAAAGGGGATGGCATGACATCAGGTTGGCTGTATATTGCTCCCTTACCTTGTCGCTATGTTTTATGGTGTTTTTTTTTTATAGAAACCAACTTCACCACGGCGTTTAGAGAGTTCGTTTGGGGTTTTGGATTCATTACTTTTACTTTACGCAGTATGATGGAGTGAATCAAATAAAAATGATCAAAATAGCCCCCTTTTTTACGTATTTTTTTTCTTCCAGAAATTCATGATACATGCGAACAGTACATGTCCTAATCCAAGTAGGTCTATCCCAAATTGACCTTGAATTGAACATCAGAAATGTCGTTTTTAATGAGGGGTCAATCATGGATACATTTCTGTAACTACTCATTGACTTTCCACGGTAAATCATTTTCATATGTCTGATATTAGCGTCAATAACTTTGAGCAACTACAAGCCGGCAGGGGATGAGCTATTTTGTGTCCAGGAGTGAAGGATTTCTTTCTTTCATTACCTCTTTAATTTTCTACAAAAGAGAACACTTTCTTGAAGCTTTATCAGTTTTGAAGAGAGGCGTGCAGGTAAGGTGATTGCGTATAACCCCTCGCTCCGGGGCGGGAGACACGGGAGTATGGATCCATTTAATCTATAAATTTTATTTCTCATATATATATATATATATATATATATATATATATATATATATATATATATATATATATATATATATATATATATATATATATATATATATATTGTACTTATCACACCTATACCAGATTTGTTCAGTATTCAGTGATGACAAGTTGAAGAACACACAACTTAGGTCCCATCATGGAACCAGCAGTTAAAAAAATAATAATTAGAATAAATTTAAAGAAAATATTACACCAAGTAGCTACCTACATATATAGTTATAATAGATAAAATATTACAACAAGTAATCAACCTATTTACACAGTTGTTCACGGTGAGTGGTATAATTTTGAAACAAGTTTTCAGAACATTCCTCCTTTGGGAAGCTAATGGAGCGAGAGAGCTCACCGTCACCTGACACACCACCTTTACAAGTTAGTAGTGTTTTCGCTTCTAACTGGGTCAACCGTAGCCCCCTAACCCCATCACATACACATCTAAACTTTCACTGATGCAGGTACACACGCCTACGGCTGCCCTACAGATGTAGCCACACACAGTTCCCTCATCTAGAACGAACTTGCACTCGTGTTCATGCAAACAGAATAATTAATAATTACTACTACTACAACTAATAATAATAAAGAAGCAATGGAAATAAAACTGAACTTGCTATATATTTAGAAGCAGTTACGATCAGAAAAATTAGTAATGTAAGTGATTGAAATTAACTATCTTCATTATGTCATTCGTCGGATCGTATTTTCTTTTCTCCCAATTATGTGATAAAAATTACCATAAATATTTAAGTCCTATATGTGTTGTACCATAAAATTGTCGATGGTACTGCGCTTGCCTCATTATTGCTATCAAGGTTTGATTCCCACTTAGTCGGATGCGGGAAAGGCGTTGTTCAGTGTGACGGGACCTAACATTGCAAGTTTTCTCCAATCTCAAACGAAAGTTAATTGTCACGATTTATAGTATTTGAGCTAGTGGTTTATGTATAATATGGACACGAAGTTGTGCATTCTTATATTACTTTATTAATTATGTATAGTAAAGTATTACAGAACATGTATTAATCCTATGTAATATTTCCATTTATTATGCACCATGTTATGTATGTGAATTATCATATTTACATTTTATGTATTCAGCTTGTGAATGCTGGCATCTGTACATGCCAGCGCTGAGTGATACAGAGAGTTGAGATCACTAGTCCTTATGGTGTGTGTGTGTGTGTTAGTAGTGATGTTAACCATTTTTCATTATCACTCATACTACGCCCACCTCGAAGACTTCCATTCACAAATTCGGGGTTCAGACAAAAGCCCCCGGACAAAAGCTTCCTGAACAAAAACCCCACAGTTAAAGTACAAAGTAGGACAAAGGCCCTTCAGTTAAAGTGCAGAATAGGTTAGGTTAGATTAGGTTAGATTATGATAGGAGAGGTTAGGTTAGGTATTGCAGTCTTGATTACATAATAAATGTAATACTTTAATCAGAGAAGTGTTCATAAACTATAAATAATAAAGAATAAAAAGAATATTTAAAAATTCATATCCGATTTTAGTACCCCCTCCTTGGTAGAGTAGCCCCAATGTGAAATTTTTATTAATATATTTCTCTTAATCTTTAATGGATAGTGTTCAAAATTCACAAACAATAGCATTACTATTTTTTTAATTCGACCTCCTCGAACATTTCCGGTTTAATTCATACTTTCAGGTGGTTCTCCTATTAGAGCGTCTTATGTCTTGCTGCTGGGCCCAGTCACCCAGGCCTGACTGCATGTCATAGGTTCAATGAATCACTGAGCTGCTCACAGCACGTGGCACGGCAGTGATTTTATGTGGCGCCGCCTGTAAACACAATTGAACACAACTACAGTTATGACGTTTTACGGTTTAGTTAATTATTAAATAACTTGTTTCACATCAGTCAGGTCAGTTACACACGATATGGTTTCCTGTATCCTTATTCTGAAATATTTTGTTTTAAGATGCAACAGTTGTTAGTTAGGCAGGAGTTATGGTAACGTTAGGTTTGAAACGATATAATTAGGTAGTAGCCATTATTAGAGTTACTTTAGTATATTATACTATTTCATAAGAAAAATTCGCGTTTTGTTGGCATGGATGGGGTGTTTTATAGGGTGAATTTTGCCTTGCTTTCCTAAATTGAATATGGTTTCTTCGCTGCCTCCCTGCCCCCAGCCGAATTATAATTAATATATATATATATATATACAGTATATATATATATATATATATATATATATATATATATATATATATATATATATATATATATATATATATATATATATAAACTAATGTACGTACTTGTTGGTTGCCAATACTAGATACTTGCGGGACAGTCAGTATATATAATAAGCAGAAGGGTCCAGGTACACTGACCTTGGAGTCTAGCACCCACGATCACAGCCTTACACTACTACGTCAATCACGACAGGAATGTTACTGAACTTTCATTCTTGCTGTGAATGGAAGAAAGTTCTGGCCAGAGTATCATACGGGCGAAGAGTAACTAATTCACATTATAACATAATGGAGTGGAAAGTTACTCTAGTAATTGTACACCAGCGTTATGTATATAAAATTACACTATTTGTCTAGCAAAACTTTTTTTAAAGATTAAACTAATTACGCCGAAATATCCACAAACTGCTCGTGCGGCCGGCAGCTGACTCAATATATGCCTGATAACGCGCTGGAACCACATGATAATGTTACGAATTCTGATTAATTTTCCTCTTTTTTCTGTCTTATTTTGAATAACTTTCCAATTATACTAAGTATCTCCGCTAAATTATATTTTGACTAGCTTTATATCCTATATTATTTTGTTTTTTCGTAACAAACTATAACGACACTAGTGATGAAAGCAAAGTATTTTGGGAGATTAACTAATATTTTTTTGTATTTAGATAAAAACAAATCAGGAGGAACAAATATGAACTGCCCAGACGACAGATGAATCGCTCAGTTTTTTCGGCGTATGATTCGTTTTGAAAATCTTGTAAGTCCTAATAACTTAAAATAATGGCCAGGGCTTTAGAAGTAACGCGACTGCGCCCTTTGAACCTGAACTGACCCTTAGACGATGTTTAAGGTCCGGATGGGATCCTGCTGGCCAAATCGTTAAGCAGTGAGAACACATCGCAAACACAAAACAAAAGTGAGCGAGAAAACAAAGCATCTACATATACAAGTACACCACCAACACGGTATCTTGTTTATTAGGGATTTTCAGTTTCCTGTACTTTTAGGTAGCTTTTATATAGCAAATGCAGTTTCCTTCATTCTTATATTCTTAAGTTCAATTTCTTATAAGACTTTGATATTTGTTTGGTCCCCAAATAAGGCCAGCTACCGTTTCTTCATTCATGCACTTGCATCTTTGTATCAGTATTCAGCGTGCTTTATACAATCTCTCGGGGGATCGACCTTGATGCAGCCTTGCAATGTGGTGCTTTATGTTGATCACTCGTTCTCAGTCCGCATTCGCAAAAGGTTGTACGGTTGATTTTTTTTTTTTACGGGAATTAGCCCACCCGGGCACAGGTCAAACGACCCACAACGGAGCCTGGGGGGCGAAAAAAAAACAAGAAAGGAAAGAAATTGTAAATATAGAAAAAAAGGTTAAACTGTATTAATCTACACCACGAAGATGCCGGAAAACCAGCTTTTTAAAGTGAGACAGATTGTAACTGATGAAAGTGGGTCCCATAGGAATGACTGCCCGTTAGAGGAAGTGTAGGTACTGCACGTTGAGCCTTCGGTACACAAGGTACTACACTCAACTGCATTCACTTACCCAAGTTGGAAACCTAAGCACCTATTTACAGCTGACTGAACTGGGAGAGCCTGGGGATCGAACCACGGACCCACTTAACACCAGTTAGGAGATAGAATTAAGAAGCAGGACATTCATAAAAAGTTCCTATACATTGGTTTAGTCTTGGTGGTAAGTGAATGTATTTAGTTCACACTTTGTAAGACAGCGATGTACTTAGTACAGGGTATTTTATTTTGGCTAACGACAGACGGTTTTATTCATCTGAGAGATGCTCCTGCCCTCTAAAGGGTTAAGATGAATATTCATTATAATTGTAATTTTGCTCAAGTTGATTAGTTAGATATATTCTTACATCCTCCACCACGATGTCTATTTATTACGCAAACCTTTGCGAAACCTGGCAATGGGGGCTCCTACACAGGCCACTGACCTCCTTCCCTCGGCATAGCCACCCCTATAATGTGTGTGGCCACTACACACACACACACACACACACATATATATATATATATATATATATATATATATATATATATATATATATATATATATATATATATATATATATATATATATGTATATATATATATATTCCCTAATCAAACTAGCTTCAACCAGAAGTCTTTCTGTGACACATGATGATTTGTACACTTCTAAGCTGTTTTCCCATTCAATGGGATGATTATTATTCCTAACATGAACGAACAGTGCACTGCTTTCAGTTGAAGTTTTTGAAAGAATGCAGAGATGATAAAATTGTTCCTAAGTCCTGTCTTCCAAGAAGATTAAGAAATCTGGACAATCAAGCCTTCTCTGAGTTGGATAAAGTGCCGCTGGACTCCCTTATCAAGAGTTCAAGTGATAGTGTAAAATTGGCTTTTAAGCACAGTGCTCAGCGTAAAATTCTAATGCAAAACAGTGTTTGTGTTGATAAGTGGCAATCATTCGTGATTTTGTATATCAATTTCTTAGTGAAAGTGACAAAGACCAAAAAAAGAAGTTAAATGCTAAATTAAATGCTCTGTTTGACGAGAGTTACTGGTCTAAACTGAGTGATTCAAATATGTTCATAAACTTATCATCTTATAATCTACAGACAAATGAGAAACGTGTACTTGGTTTTGGCAGGAAGTTTTCTATCACTCAACGGAGTGTTAATTCATTTACTATTGCTAAAGGTATAATCAACCTGGAAAAGAATAAGTCGATAGATGTTACAAATGAAGATATTTCCGTAGCTAAAGGTCAAATTGAAATTATATCTTGCTTGATATTTCTTCCTATTAATTAGCAAATGTACATAAAACTTATCGCTGATTATGTGAAATTGAGGTACGATAATCTAGGGCTAAACTCAAGAGTCTAGACTTTAGAGCATTTATCTCAGAGTGGTTTGCCTAGCAGCTCCACCCGCGACGTGATAAGTCGTGGTGTGTGTTGGCAGATACCAAAAATTACGGTATAAGCAAGAAGCTCTACATGAAGAAAATACAATAAATAAAACAATAGTGATTTTGAGTTTTATCTAAGAACAAACTGAAGACTGCTTAGGAGGAATCCGGTGTGTACTGCAATGGTGCCGGATGTGTGGACAGAAGCTGCAGTAATAATAACAGATATAACGCTCGACGGAGATAACACACCACTGTTAACATCCCAGTAAGACACGACGTAAAAGATCTTAGTCTCCTTCAGCCTATGCTGGCAATTATGATACTTCACGCGCTACAAGTCAGAAACTGCGCATAACGCCTTGAAACACCTTCCCTTTCTCAGACCACCAAATGAATTTTCTAACGACACAGTGACCGTATTCATACTTCGTGTCCTTCCCGGTCTCTTTACTAAAATACCAAGTTTTCATCTCTCTCCATATATAGACGAAATGCTTTATATGCCAGAATGTTACACTTATAGATATTAAAAACCCACACTACCAGATTAGTGAGGCTGTAACAGAAACATTGGGATGAGGCTCTCGGGAGAATGTTTACAATATGGCAAGTGTTGTAACTTAAATGTAAAGTGGCTCCCATAGACCTGCTAGCCTGCTGTTAGGGGGAATGTAAATACAGTACACCGAATACTATTTATTGGTACACAAGGAGGTAATGTGGCTATCACTTCATTTGACTGCCTTCACTTACCCAACCTAGGGCACTTCCCCATCTACAACTGGGCAGACTAGGAGTGCCCCAGGCACGAGCCAGTGACCCTTGGAACACGTGAGCTTTATATTCACTTGGCTGCTAAACTCTAATTACACCAGTATTATTTTGTGACCTTTTGTATCGCGTAAATCTTTTTGGGTGTTTCATTGTAAGCCCAGAGAGAGGAAGGAGGAGGAGGAGGAGGTAGTGATAGGAAGGTTGAGAGAAAATGAGAGCGTGGCTGCAGGGAACTTGCCTGACAGGGACAGACGAGAGGCACGAGGGTGGTGGTGGTAGTGGGGCGTGGGTTGTAAGCAGAGCGCTTTTCGTGTGTTATGTCCTTCTTATATGTTGTTTTACTACAGCTCACACCAGATAATAGAAATGATCGATAAACGCTGTTATTTATCTATTGAATATATGAATTGTCTGTCTTTATAAATGAAGAATGATCCAGAACATGCCGCCAATCTAAAAAAAATCTCAAGGTTAGTGTAGGAGGCTGGCCAGCCAGTGGTATTGTGGTCATAAAGGGTGTGCTTACAGGGTAGGGCGTGGGAATACCACGGTGAAAAGTGCGTGGCAGGCTGTCACGGTGTACATATTAGTCAATATGTACAGTACATGTATATATATATATATATATATATATATATATATATATATATATATATATATATATATATATATATATATATATATATATATATATATATATATATATATATATATATATATATATATATATATATATATATATATATATATATATATATATATATATATATATATATATATATATATATTTATTTATTTGATTGTGCCCACTTCTAACACTTTAAGTTCATGACAATATTAAGGCTGTTGCTGAACCACTTGGAAATATACTC